CTGCTCATGTTCAGGTGTAAATCAGTATGTAGTGTCTCTACTTTAAAGAGTGCTCTCCTGCTCATGTTCAGGTGTATATCAGTATGTAGTGTCTCTACTTTAAAGAGTCCTCTCCTGCTGATGTTCAGGTGTATATCAGTATGTAGTGTCTCTACTTTAAAGAGTCCTCTCCTGCTGATGTTCAGGTGTATATCAGTATGTAGTGTCTCTACTTTAAAGAGTCCTCTCCTGCTGATGTTCAGGTGTATATCAGTATGTAGTGTCTCTACTTTAAAGAGTCCTCTCCTGCTGATGTCCAGGTGTATATCAGTATGTAGTGTCTCTACTTTAAAGAGTCCTCTCCTGCTGATGTTCAGGTGTATATCAGTATGTAGTGTCTCTACTTTAAAGAGTCCTCTCCTGCTCATGTTCAGGTGTATCTAGTGTCTCTACTTTAAAGAGTCCTCTCCTGCTCATGTTCAGGTGTAAATCAGTATGTAGTGTCTCTACTTTAAAGAGTCCTCTCCTGCTCATGTTCAGGTGTATCTAGTGTCTCTACTTTAAAGAGTCCTCTCCTGCTCATGTTCAGGTGTAAATCAGTATGTAGTGTCTCTACTTTAAAGAGTCCTCTCCTGCTCATGTTCAGGTGTATCTAGTGTCTCTACTTTAAAGAGTCCTCTCCTGCTGATGTTCAGGTGTATATCAGTATGTAGTGTCTCTACTTTAAAGAGTGCTCTCCTGCTGATGTCCAGGTGTATATCAGTATGTAGTGTCTCTACTTTAAAGAGTGCTCTCCTGCTGATGTCCAGGTGTATATCAGTATGTAGTGTCTCTACTTTAAAGAGTCCTCTCCTGCTCATGTTCAGGTGTAAATCAGTATGTAGTGTCTCTACTTTAAAGAGTGCTCTCCTGCTCATGTTCAGGTGTATATCAGTATGTAGTGTCTCTACTTTAAAGAGTCCTCTCCTGCTGATGTTCAGGTGTATATCAGTATGTAGTGTCTCTACTTTAAAGAGTCCTCTCCTGCTGATGTTCAGGTGTATATCAGTATGTAGTGTCTCTACTTTAAAGAGTCCTCTCCTGCTGATGTTCAGGTGTATATCAGTATGTAGTGTCTCTACTTTAAAGAGTCCTCTCCTGCTGATGTCCAGGTGTATATCAGTATGTAGTGTCTCTACTTTAAAGAGTCCTCTCCTGCTGATGTTCAGGTGTATATCAGTATGTAGTGTCTCTACTTTAAAGAGTCCTCTCCTGCTCATGTTCAGGTGTATCTAGTGTCTCTACTTTAAAGAGTCCTCTCCTGCTCATGTTCAGGTGTAAATCAGTATGTAGTGTCTCTACTTTAAAGAGTCCTCTCCTGCTCATGTTCAGGTGTATCTAGTGTCTCTACTTTAAAGAGTCCTCTCCTGCTCATGTTCAGGTGTAAATCAGTATGTAGTGTCTCTACTTTAAAGAGTCCTCTCCTGCTCATGTTCAGGTGTATCTAGTGTCTCTACTTTAAAGAGTCCTCTCCTGCTGATGTTCAGGTGTATATCAGTATGTAGTGTCTCTACTTTAAAGAGTGCTCTCCTGCTGATGTCCAGGTGTATATCAGTATGTAGTGTCTCTACTTTAAAGAGTCCTCTCCTGCTGATGTTCAGGTGTATATCAGTATGTAGTGTCTCTACTTTAAAGAGTCCTCTCCTGCTCATGTTCAGGTGTATCTAGTGTCTCTACTTTAAAGAGTCCTCTCCTGCTCATGTTCAGGTGTATATCAGTATGTAGTGTCTCTACTTTAAAGAGTCCTCTCCTGCTGATGTTCAGGTGTATATCAGTATGTAGTGTCTCTACTTTAAAGAGTCCTCTCCTGCTGATGTCCAGGTGTATATCAGTATGTAGTGTCTCTACTTTAAAGAGTCCTCTCCTGCTCATGTTCAGGTGTAAATCAGTATGTAGTGTCTCTACTTTAAAGAGTGCTCTCCTGCTCATGTTCAGGTGTATATCAGTATGTAGTGTCTCTACTTTAAAGAGTCCTCTCCTGCTGATGTTCAGGTGTATATCAGTATGTAGTGTCTCTACTTTAAAGAGTCCTCTCCTGCTGATGTTCAGGTGTATATCAGTATGTAGTGTCTCTACTTTAAAGAGTCCTCTCCTGCTGATGTTCAGGTGTATATCAGTATGTAGTGTCTCTACTTTAAAGAGTCCTCTCCTGCTGATGTCCAGGTGTATATCAGTATGTAGTGTCTCTACTTTAAAGAGTCCTCTCCTGCTGATGTTCAGGTGTATATCAGTATGTAGTGTCTCTACTTTAAAGAGTCCTCTCCTGCTCATGTTCAGGTGTATCTAGTGTCTCTACTTTAAAGAGTCCTCTCCTGCTCATGTTCAGGTGTAAATCAGTATGTAGTGTCTCTACTTTAAAGAGTCCTCTCCTGCTCATGTTCAGGTGTATCTAGTGTCTCTACTTTAAAGAGTCCTCTCCTGCTCATGTTCAGGTGTAAATCAGTATGTAGTGTCTCTACTTTAAAGAGTCCTCTCCTGCTCATGTTCAGGTGTATCTAGTGTCTCTACTTTAAAGAGTCCTCTCCTGCTGATGTTCAGGTGTATATCAGTATGTAGTGTCTCTACTTTAAAGAGTGCTCTCCTGCTGATGTCCAGGTGTATATCAGTATGTAGTGTCTCTACTTTAAAGAGTCCTCTCCTGCTGATGTTCAGGTGTATATCAGTATGTAGTGTCTCTACTTTAAAGAGTCCTCTCCTGCTCATGTTCAGGTGTATCTAGTGTCTCTACTTTAAAGAGTCCTCTCCTGCTCATGTTCAGGTGTATATCAGTATGTAGTGTCTCTACTTTAAAGAGTCCTCTCCTGCTGATGTTCAGGTGTATATCAGTATGTAGTGTCTCTACTTTAAAGAGTCCTCTCCTGCTCATGTTCAGGTGTATATCAGTATGTAGTGTCTCTACTTTAAAGAGTCCTCTCCTGCTGATGTCCAGGTGTATATCAGTATGTAGTGTCTCTACTTTAAAGAGTCCTCTCCTGCTCATGTTCAGGTGTAAATCAGTATGTAGTGTCTCTACTTTAAAGAGTGCTCTCCTGCTCATGTTCAGGTGTATATCAGTATGTAGTGTCTCTACTTTAAAGAGTCCTCTCCTGCTGATGTTCAGGTGTATATCAGTATGTAGTGTCTCTACTTTAAAGAGTCCTCTCCTGCTGATGTTCAGGTGTATATCAGTATGTAGTGTCTCTACTTTAAAGAGTCCTCTCCTGCTGATGTTCAGGTGTATATCAGTATGTAGTGTCTCTACTTTAAAGAGTCCTCTCCTGCTGATGTCCAGGTGTATATCAGTATGTAGTGTCTCTACTTTAAAGAGTCCTCTCCTGCTGATGTTCAGGTGTATATCAGTATGTAGTGTCTCTACTTTAAAGAGTCCTCTCCTGCTCATGTTCAGGTGTAAATCAGTATGTAGTGTCTCTACTTTAAAGAGTCCTCTCCTGCTCATGTTCAGGTGTATCTAGTGTCTCTACTTTAAAGAGTCCTCTCCTGCTCATGTTCAGGTGTAAATCAGTATGTAGTGTCTCTACTTTAAAGAGTCCTCTCCTGCTCATGTTCAGGTGTAAATCAGTATGTAGTGTCTCTACTTTAAAGAGTCCTCTCCTGCTGATGTTCAGGTGTATATCAGTATGTAGTGTCTCTACTTTAAAGAGTCCTCTCCTGCTGAAGTCCAGGTGTATATCAGTATGTAGTGTCTCTACTTTAAAGAGTCCTCTCCTGCTGATGTTCAGGTGTATATCAGTATGTAGTGTCTCTACTTTAAAGAGTCCTCTCCTGCTGATGTTCAGGTGTAAATCAGTATGTAGTGTCTCTACTTTAAAGAGTCCTCTCCTGCTCATGTTCAGGTGTATATCAGTATGTAGTGTCTCTACTTTAAAGAGTCCTCTCCTGCTGATGTTCAGGTGTATATCAGTATGTAGTGTCTCTACTTTAAAGAGTCCTCTCCTGCTGAAGTCCAGGTGTATATCAGTATGTAGTGTCTCTACTTTAAAGAGTCCTCTCCTGCTGATGTTCAGGTGTATATCAGTATGTAGTGTCTCTACTTTAAAGAGTCCTCTCCTGCTGATGTTCAGGTGTAAATCAGTATGTAGTGTCTCTACTTTAAAGAGTCCTCTCCTGCTGAAGTCCAGGTGTATATCAGTATGTAGTGTCTCTACTTTAAAGAGTCCTCTCCTGCTGATGTTCAGGTGTATATCAGTATGTAGTGTCTCTACTTTAAAGAGTCCTCTCCTGCTGATGTTCAGGTGTATATCAGTATGTAGTGTCTCTACTTTAAAGAGTCCTCTCCTGCTGATGTTCAGGTGTATATCAGTATGTAGTGTCTCTACTTTAAAGAGTCCTCTCCTGCTGATGTTCAGGTGTATATCAGTATGCACAAAAACCTATAGAACACACTACAGAGAAGGGAAACTCCAAAAAGCATTTTAGGGCCCTTTAAACATAATCAATAAGATTTAATGATCTATCAGAACAAACTGAAGAAGGCTGAGATCAAAATACATGACAGGTATTTAATGATTTAATTAATAAAATCAATAAATACGTGGCTGTATTCTCTGTGTGCCGAATAAAACCCCGTACAATGTGGCTTTGTCTAGAAGCTGGAAAGTAGGAAAGAAGCCGTCCTGTGTGGAGGCAGAAGTTACATGTACAACTACTGTTTATTTATTATTAAGAGGAGGCTTTGTTTGTGAAAAAAAGAGAGTGAGGGATCGTTAAAGTCGCACACCAAAGAAATATATTCAATTAAAGCACAAACTAGTCAATCCAGGGCACAAATGACTAATTTAAGAGCACACTTTCTTAAATCAAAAGAACTAAACCACACTGGGCTCTGTACAAAATACAGAAACAAATGTGATGTCATTAATACATTCTCTATCATTTTCCTGAACCTCTCACATCATCTCATAGTTTGTCTCATGACAGATATTGAAAGGAATAAAATGTATCTAGTCTCTGATTGGATGATAGAGGAGTGATGTGTGTCTTACATGCAGGCATGATGGACACCTCAGCAGTCACGATGCTCTTCACTCCAAGGTTGGACAGTGCTCCTCTCACCAGTCCACAGCTGAAGGCCAGATACTGCAGAAAGACATCAGTCGTCTGAGTCACTCACACACATTCTCATAGGCTGCCATCAGCTGTAGAAGACCTGATAATGTGTTAGCTCTGGGTACTGATATGTCACAGTATGTCAGAGTAGCATTGGACAAACTGCTGTGAGCACCAAACGCAGCAGCTAACATATCAATGAATCAGATGAAGTGTAAAAGAGGTTGAAGGTAAAACTGAACTTGATTTACTCTAGCTGTCGAACAGACATCCAGTCCAAATCCTCCTCACACAACTCATTTACAATGATAGTTCTCTACATTAAACTAAACAGTACAGGGAGCTAAAGCAGTCATCCACCATGGGGTCCATGTGAATTTTTATCACTGCTGAACGCTAACATGTCAGTGTTCGGAAGTGCGTGTGAATGGGTGAATTCTGGCTTGTCTTGTTAAGCGCTTTGAGGTCAGATTAGAAATACGCTATTTAAATATGAATTTACCATTTATTTACAGGACTCTATACACAACATTACAGGAACAAATATATAATTAATAAACCAAAAAGCTTATAAAAGATAAACTTTAATTTGGCGGCAGATGTTCAGTACTACTATATTTAGATTGGGGAGACGAAGGTGACAGAACGCATGCAACTGCAGCTCAGCAGTTGTAACTAGCAGGAAGTAACCAAGCTGAACAGGTAACCATTGCCCTGCAGATAGCGTTACATCCAGCCCACCAACACCAGCTCTGATCCCTGCATGTTCAGCCGCGGGACGCACCTTGGGAGCGTGTTCCAGATACTGTTTCCCTGCCGACAGCTGACTCAGCAATCGGAACTTGTTGTCCTGGAGAACATAGATGCCCTGAAACACACGAGGGCAGCATCGGCAGTGACAGACTGATCCCATAATACTTTAATGGTCACAGCAGCTCCATTGGCAACATCAACAAGGACACATACTAAGACAAGATACAGAGAAACAGACATTTAACCAAACATCACGATCACTGAAGAGAACATGTTCAAGACCCTCTGACGTACATTAGATCTGGGATTACCTCTGTGATTGATTTTAGGATGACTGGTGCACAAAAGAGAGCTTCAGTCTGACCTTATTCAAATGTGGGACTCGGATGTGATGGAGTTCATGTCGGTTAAATGCCGCCCGTTCTTTCTACCTAGAGAGCTAACTGTAGTGATTGTCACGGCTGTGTATATACCACCACAAGCTAACGTCAACACTGCACTCTCCCTCCTGCTAAACCCCATCAACCACCAACAGCAGGCTCACCCCGATGGCGTTCAAATTGTTGCAGGAGATTTCAATAAGGCCAAACTAAAATCTGTCCTGCCTAAATTCTGGTGTCCGACCAGAGGGAAAAACACTCTTGATCATGTGTACTCCAACATCAAGCACGCATACAGAGCCATACCTCTCCCCCACCTAGGCCTGTCAGATCATATCTCCCTGTTACTGACCCCTGCATACATCCCCCTTAGACGGAGAACAAGCCCAACAAGAAAGTCTGTTACAACCTGGCCTGAGGATGCACTTGCTCAGCTTCAGGACTGCTTTGAACACACCCAGTGGGATGTATTTGAACACCAGCACCTGGACCTGGCAACCTACACAGAGACGGTACTGTCCTACATTAAAATACTGTATAGACAACGTCACTGTGGTAAAAAGCATCAGGGTTTTCCCAAACCAGAAACCCTGGATGCCGGGTCCGCATGCTGCTCAAGGCCCATGGTCAGGGGACAGAGCTCTCTACAGTGCTGCTCGAGGCGACCTGAGGAGAGGAATTACAAAAGCCAAGACAGACTACAAAAAAAGGATTGAGGACCACCTCACAAGCAACAACCCTAGGCAGGTGTGGCAGGGCATTAAGAACATAACCAACTACAGGGGGTGTGACACGACAACTGGGGACTCAAGCGTGTCGCTAGCAGAGGAACCAAACTGCTTTTTTGCTCGCTTCGAGACACCACAGCAGCAATCAGCAACTTCACCCCAGCCCGCAACCGCCTCCAGCACACCCCCACTTACTGTGGAGGAGCATGATGTGAGACGGGTGCTCAAAGCAGTGAACCCCAGGAAGGCTGCTGGTCCAGATGGAGTACCTGGGAAGGTGCTCAGAGCGTGTGCCAACCAGCTCTCACAGGTCTTCACCAGCATTTTTAATCTCTCCCTGAAACTCACTGTTATCCCACCTTGCCTTAAAACTGCCACTATCATCCCTGTTCCTAAGAAAGCAACCACAGACAGCCTTAATGACTACCGCCCCATTGCACTCACACCTGTGATCATGAAGTGTTTTGAGAGGCTGGTGTTACATCACATAAAGGCCTGCCTTCCCCCCACCCTCGACCCACACCAGTTTGCCTACAGAGCAAATAGATCCACTGAAGACGCCATAGCTTTCCACT